TGAGGCTGGCCTCTCTGGTCCCTACCAACAGTCTGTGCTGCCAAACGACGATGGAGAAATGTCTCCAAGGTGCTGAGCAAAAGAAAGTGTGATGCAAGAACATTTTACTCAGCCAAGTTGCGTTCAAGTCTAAAGACCACAGAAACATTCTCAAACACAGAAAATACAGCATTCATGAACCATCCTTTAAAAACTTAATGATGAAACCCAGCCAACCAAGAGTTTAAAAACAACTCAGGAATGAAGAAGTGATGGCAAAAGTACCAGTGCTGAGTCCAAAGTCAGTCCGAATGTGAAACAAAGGCTAAATAACCACAAGAATTATGCTTCAGAGAAGAAGTGCATAGGTCATGTCAATGTCAAGACAGGTGTAATCAGTGTACAAACTGGGAAGTAGAGGCAGAGATAAGCCAGGAAAAAGAGCAATTTCCTTTTCCTCAGGGGCTTAAGCCTTTCATCTAAAAAGTAAACCTTATTAAGAACAATTCTAGTTTCTTAATGTTTCTTACAACCTTAACTTCAGAGAGATCTTTCAAGAACTAATATTTCTTTTTCTTTGTTAGAGTCAAATAAAATTGATTTAGTACTTTTGTTCTTTAAAATTGCATGACTGGGCCCATTTTAATAAAAGCATTTCTATCTAGCCTTCTAGCTAGAAATATCCTAAAGACACCTAGAATTCTATTCATCTAATGTTAGTTGTTATCTCTGAGTAGATGTTTTCATAAGATCAACCAAACTGTCTTGAATTCTTATAAAAAGAATGTATCATGTTACAAAATAAGTCACTATTCTGAAAAAAAAATAAGACTAGTGAAATATCTATCTTCAACACGGGATCTAAGGGCTTGTCAGTTTGAATTATTAAGAAAGAATAAAGGACACGTCATGTCGGAGGAATGTGCACTAATAAACTGAGTTCAAACTGAACAAAAAGGACATATTAAAGTCCGAAAGTATTGTTGTGAGATAGGAATTATAACTTCTAATTAAAAACAACCTGGATTCGACTTGATCTATAGATTCAACACAATGCCAACCAAAAACTCCATCAAGTTATTTTGTAAATATCAATAAACTGATTCTAAAGTTGATGTGAGGAGGCACAGGACACAGAGTAACCAGGGCACTACTGGAGAGGAATGCTCAGTTAAGGTCAGCTGGAGAACTGACACTACCCAACTTCAAGATCAACAGAACAGAAGAGAAAGCCCAGAAGTAGACCCACATAAAGAGTCAACTGATCTTCGACAAAGAAGCAAAGACAATACGATGGAGTAAAGATAATTTTTTCAATGAATGATGGTGAAACCACTGGACATTCATATGCAAAAAAATTAATCTAGACACAGATCTCATATCCTTCATAAAAATTAACTCCGAATGGACCACAGACCTAAATGTAAAATGCAAGACTATAAAACTCCTAGAAGATAACATAGGAGAAAACCTAGATGACCTTGGGCAAGGAGATGCCTTTTTGGATACAATACCAGCAGCACAATCCATGACAGAAACAATTGATAAGTTGAACTTTATTAAAATTTAAAAACTCTGTGTGAGCCCTGGCTTGCATAGCTCAGTGGATTGAGTGCAGGCTGTGAACCAAAGCATCGCAGGTTTGATTCCCAGTCAGGGCACATGCCTGGGTTGCAGGCCACGACCCCCAGCAACTGCACATTGATGTTTCTCTCTTTATCTCTCTTTTCTCCCTCCCTTCCCTCTCTAAAAATAAATAAATAAAATATTAAAAACAACAACAACAGCAACAACAAAAACTCTGTGTGTACTGCAAAGACAAGCCACTGACTGGAAGAAAACATTTATAAAAAGTACATCTGACAAAGGACTGTTTTCCAAAATATACAAAGAACTCTTAAAACTCAACAATAAGAAAACAAATAATCTGATTACAAAATGGGCCAAAGGTCTGACCAGACACCTCACTGAAGAAGATGCATGGGCGGCACATAGCACATGGAAGGGTGTCCAACATACGCCATAGGGAAGTGCAAGTTAAACCGATGAGACACACAGCTACTAGAACGGCCAAAATCCAGAGAGCGCTGACACCCCCAAGTGCTGGGGAGGGTGTGGAGCAACAGGAACCCTCTTTCATTGCTGATGGGAGTGCAAGATGGTGCAGCCATTGGGAAGAGTTTGGCAATTTCTTTCAAAACTAGACATATTCTTGCCCTACAACCCTGCAACCACACTTCTTGGATATTTACCCAGAGGAGTTGAATACCATATCCACACAAAAGACCTCACACGGATGTTTATAGCTTTGTTTATAATTGCCAAAACTTAGAAGCAACCACAATGTCCTTTAGTAGGTGAATGGACAAAGGAACTGTGATACATCCAATGGAATATCAGTCAGTGCTAAAAAGAAGTGAGCTATCAAGCCATGAAAAGATATGGAGGAAACTGAAATGCGTATTACTGAGTGAAAGAAGCCAATCTGAAAAGGCTACATGTTGTATGACTCCAATTATATATTCTAGAAAAGGCAAAACCAGGGAGACAGTGAAGAGATCAGTGGTTGCCAGGGGTTAGCTGGGAGGGAGGGAGGAAGAGGTAGAGCCCGGGGGTTTTTAGGGCAGGGAAACGGCTCTGTGTGACACTGCAGTGGCAGATACAAGCCATTACACATGTGTACACCAAGAGCGAACCTAACGTAGACTGTGGACTTTGAGAAGGATGTGTCACTGCGGGTCCACCCATTGCAGCCAACTTGCCGCTCTGCTGCAGGACACCAATGTGGCGGAGTTGTGTATATGGGGTAAGTGGGAACTCTGTGCCTTCTGCTCAGTTTTGCTGTGAACTTGGAGACTATTATGCTAAGTGAAGTAAGCCAGTCAGAGAAAAACAAGTGCCATATGATCTCACTTACATGTGGAATGTAATGAATAAAATAAACTGACAAACAAAATAGAAACAGGCATGGATACATGGAACAGACTGACAGCTGTCAGAGGGGAGAGGGCAGGGGGAACTGGATGAAAGGAGAGGGGAATAGCCAAAGCACATGTATACCTAACACACAGACACAGACGACAGAGTGGTGACGGCCAGAGGGGAAGCAGGTGGGGGCTGGGTGGAGGTGCGCAAAGGCGGGGAAAATGGGGGCGGAGTCTTTGCTTGGAGCAGTGAGCGCACGATGCAGTGTGCAGATGATGTTTTACTGAGTTATACACTTGAAACCCGTATGGTTTTTTGAACCAGTATCACGCCAATAAATTTAATAAAACATTTTTCTAAAAAAGAAAAACCAGCCTGGGTTTCCAGGAATTGCAGTGGCAGGGTCAGGGGTGGGCACAGTGCACACGGAGAGGAAGCAAAGGTAGGGGGTGGAATGGGGCTGGAGGGCCTGGCCAGGACTTGTCCTGTGGGCAACAGAGTCACTGAGGAGCGCTGAGCAAGAAGTAAGGCAACTTGTGCTGTAGAAAGACCACCATGGCAGCTATGTGGGTGGTGAACTGGGACGATGGGACATGCATGAGAAACCAATTAGGCAATTACTGGCAGTCTGTGAGTGAGACGGCAGGAGTGGGACTGGATATGCAACAAGGGTTCTCCAGAGCTTGGTCCAGATTGGAAGCAGAGGCTGAGAGAAAAGCCAGGGGCTCTGCAAGGCTGCCACAGCCATCTTGGGCACGGTGAATTAGAGGTGCGTTAGGAGAGAACAGTGGACAGGAGCTCCTGACACTTGCATTTATAGGATTTGAGCTCAGGCAAGAAGTGTGGGCTAGGCATAGAGGCGGGAGGCAAGTAGCCCATGGGTGGGAGGCAATGCAGAGTTGAGATCTCCCAGGGAGAGAGAAGGGAGGGCCCAAGGGTGGACTAGTAGAGGAGACCGATGTTTCAGAGACAGGCAGAAGGCTCTGCGAAGGAGGCAGAGGTGGGAAAGGGAGGTTCAGGGAGCAGGGCATCCCACAGAAGCCAAGGGCGTGAGATGTGTCCCATAAGTCAGTGTCAAGTGCTACAGAGGGGCTGAACAGGACAGGGAGAAAATAGGTGACTTCGTGAGGACAAGTATTTTTGAAATTAAGTCCAGACTTCTTGACTTATACTCCAAATAATCATTTAACAGCATGTGATTTATCAGTAAAAGAACAGTTGAACAAATAATGGCACATCCACACCAAGGAATATTAGCCATTGAAAAATGAATGAATTAGACCTATGCCGGCGGATCTGAACTGTGTGAGGTACTGAGTAAGAAGAGCAAGAAACATTAAGTGCTTGTAATATGATTCCATGTTCACTAAAGCAATGACAAAAACCTTGTGGTGTATGATTATATGAGAGCGTGGAAGAAACTGGGAAGATACAGGCAGAATATGCCTGTGTGTACGTTACATTTACCTGATGGGGGGAGGGGAGGGGAGGGGTACTGGAGGGAGAGGGAGGTACAGCAAGGAATGGAAAATAAAACAGGGCTCTAAACACTAAGACATGGTTATATTCATGCATTTTTATTAAACTATATAGAAAATTTAAAAAAATGACACAGAGAGGACTTGAATCAAATCTACATTGGGTGTGAAGTGCCCCTAATCTGGTGGCAGCTGCGGTGAACCAGCAAGGGTCTTGGCCGTCCTCCTGTGAGAGACCACGGCATCCACGGGTGAGGAGACACCGTGAGGGCATCTGGGCCACATGCAGCCAGCAGGTGAGCAGGAAGAAGCCACCCGGGGTATCCTTTAAATCCTGGTATTAACAGGAGGACTGGGACTTGAGAGTTCATGTGAACAGCCGATTAGCAGCCAGGGTGGGCAAAGGCCTGGGAGAGCGATAAAGGAAGAGTCTGTGAATGCAAGTGAGCACAAAGCTGGGTGAGGGCGTTAGAGGGGACCGCGGCCGGGTGGGACAGTGACCGGGAGGCCCACGGAAAAGCCCCGAAGGCCTGCCTCCTGAATAGGATGCGGCTAGAAATCTCCCGAGTTATGGGAAAAGAGAAAACTGGAAATTAAAGAATGACAACTATAAGAAGGTTATCAATCAACATACACACTTTTAATTGCAAAAAGTAAAAACTTTGTTACATAAAACTTTAATATACATACATTCTTTACATGGGGGAAGTCTTTACAAGTTCATAGTACATTAAGTCACGGTCAACATTCTGCACTGAACACCTAACAGCTTAGACCATTCACAGCACGTGTGATTGGGACAGGTGTCCATCCTCCGCTCAGTGCGACCACTCAGGCCAGCACGTGGTCAGCTGTCCGGTTCCTGTCTGTGATGACAGCAGGGAAGAGGCTGAGGGGAGTGTCTGCCTTACTTCTGCCTCTCCAGTCCCCAGCTGCACCCCCACCCCGTGCCCTGCGCCTCCCCCTGGCCTGTTGCTGACCTTCCCACAGGAGGCAGGAGGAAGAGACCACAGACAGCATTTTTCTGAGGGCGAAACTGTAGAAACAAGTTTGGAGGGAAAGTTGCCTACGATGAGACTGGGGGTCCCCTCTGGGAATGCCACATATCTGTCTGATCCTGTCATCACTTCGCTTAATAAGCGACCATTCGTTTCTGAAAAGGTTGCAAGTGCTCAAGGGGCTGAAGTTTGAAGGCTGGGACACGGCTGAAGGGTGAGTTAAGGTGGCTTCACAGGACGACCTCATCTACCCCTCAGAGCTGCGGGGACTGAGGAGGTAAGTGAGGCACAGAGCAGATGTCCCCACTCCTCAGTTTCCGTTTGAAATGGGAAACGACACTGGTTTCCCTTCTCCGTGCGGAGCCTGCAGCTGGGCCTCACCCCTGGATCGATGTCAGACGCACGAAGTGCAGGAGGAGCAGTCCCCGGGCCAGCCCCCCGTCTGGACAGTTCGGGCCTCGGCTTGGAGTTACACAACATTTCTTCTTTCCCTTCCTCTGAAAAGGTCTAGACTCCACGTCTCCAGAGAAAGGGAAATGACACAGGTATTTAGCTCTAATGCTTAAATTATGCAGGGCAGGGAAACCAGAAACTAAGGGGCATGGATAACAGACAAGTGGGCTGGAGGGTGTCCCACCAAGGCCAGCACTTAAAGCCAACTGTGTCCAGGGCGGGCGGGCTTGGATGTGGTGCGTGAGAGGGAGCGCCTGTCCATCTTCTCGGAGATGCTTCTGTGGAAGAAGCTGCCAGCAGGTGAGGCAGCCAGGGATACCCGTGCCCACGGTGCCACCGCGCATCCCCAGGGCCTCCCGGTTTTCATTTGCCACAGGGCTGTCTCCACAAGCACCTCACCTTCCTAACCTCCTGCCCCTGCCACGCATCGCTCTGTACACAACATGCAAAAGTTCAAACACGGAAGATTTCAGCCTAACTTACTATTTCAAAACACATCTCTGGCACTCCCTTCCATCAGTGGATTAACTAAAAGTTAATGAATGTGGAACTTATGAATTTAGGACAGTTTCTCTTCCACTGCTAGGGGAACTCCAAGCCGAAAGCCCCTTCTGTTTAATAACTGATCCACAAAATGTATACGAGACAAGATGGCCTGTCTGTGCACCAGACAAGCAGCTTTCCCTTTTCCCCTACAACTTGGCTTCTCCTGCTGGATGAGGATTAGATGAGAAGAGAACTTCTGCTCTGGGTTTTGGGGGGTTTTTTGAATTTTATTTATTTATTTTTACAGAAGGGAAGGGAGGGAGAAAGAGAGAAAGAGAAACGTCCATGCGTGGTTGCCTCTCATGTGCCCCCCTACTGGGGACCTGACCCTCACCCCAGGCATGTGCCGTGCCTGGGAATGGAACCGGCGACCCTTTGGTTCACAGGCTGGCACTCAATCCACTGAGCCACACCAGCCAGGGCTGCTCTTGGTCTTTAATGTTCTCTATGGAAGCCACTAGTTAATGACCAAACTCATCCAGACTATTAGAATGGCCGAGGCCATCATTTGCAGCTAAGGAACTTGAGATTTTGTTAAAACAACTGTTCTTGCACTGAGGCCTATGCTGGATTTTGGAAGAAAGGAATAGAAAACTGAGACGTGAAAAACAAGTGATGTAAAGTCCAAGAGGACCCACAACTGGAAATGGGCGGAGTCCCTCTTCTGGTCACACATCTGGAAATGTGGAGTGTTGGGAAAATGGCTGGACACAGTCGTGTTCCAGCCACACGCACTCTTAAGAGAGTTTTCCAACAGGGAGGGAAAAAGTGAAAGACTTTTTATAAAAGTCATCTGGTTAGATTCTCTCCTCCTCCATTTCTGTCCAAGACAGTTTTAAAAACAAATTTTGAGGAGCTCCTGGCTTGCTGACCCTACTCCTAGGTCCTCGGTCCTCCTAGGTGAGGGCTCGAGGGGGCGAGCACACCACCTCCGTTCCGGCGCCACACGGTGCCGGGGCAGTAGAACAATACACTGGGGAACCAACACCTCCGCCCAGCACTGAACTGTTCTAAGCCCTGGTTTCTTTATTTGTAAAACAAGGATCTAATACCTACTGTACAGGACTAAGTAGAGATTAAAAAAGACCCCAGATTACACGATGTTATTATTCCTTTCTCTTTAAAAAAATTGCACCCTGGCGGCATAGCTCAGTGGATTGAGTGTGGGCTGTGAACCAGGCATTGCAGGTTCGATTCCCAGTCAGGGCACATGCCTAGGTTGCAGGCCATGGCCCCCAGCAACTGCACATTGATGTTTCTCTCTCTTTCGCCCTCCCTTTCCTCTCTAAAAAAATAAATAAATAAAATCTTTTAAAAAATGGCAAGGTCAGCCTATTTAGGCTGTTTTATATACTGCTAAATAGGTGGACTTTGTTTTCATAAACCATTATTAAATTAATCTCTTCCCTAAAAAAAAAGAAAGGATTGGGGAAAGGATAAGCCCCACCTTTTTTCATAAGCCAGAACAGGTGTCCTGTCTAATATGTGATCCTGAGGCCTCTGGCCTTCGGGACACAAATGCTTCACACGGTGCTGAAGCAGCCTCTCAGATCCCCAGAGAGCTGATTTCTGGGGATATGAGTGTGTGCTCCGAGAACCTATAAGAAAGTGAACCTAACCCGTGTGTGGAAGTCAAGTCACCTCTCAGTAAACACTCAGCGAACTCGTGAGCAAGTCCTTCTTCCCAGAGCCCCGTGGTTTTGTCTTTGCTGTGGTGCTGGGGGTGGGGGTTGGTTAGGTCGTCCCACCATCCCCCTGACCCTGCTTCCTCATTAGATGACCCTCTTCCCCACACCAGGTCACGTGGGGGGGCCTTCTGCTCTTTCCTGGAAGGAGCTGAGAGCAAGCTTAGCACGGAAAACCAAGCAGCATGCGCACACAGAGCCTTGGATAACCAGAAGGGGCTGGCTCGGCCCCCCAAGCCACTCCCGTAGGACTGGCCACCGGTAGATTTGGCTAGCCCGAGTTAGCCTGTGAAGAAGGCAAATTGTTTCTATGCATTCAGTAATTAAGAGCAGAAAACCCTCTCTGGAGGATTTCTCTTCTAATATAAAGCTGCATTCAATTCTGAACTGGACAGATTTTAACAAACCAACAGTATATGCACAAGTTTCTTAGCAGCGGCCATATCATTCTCTGGTGATGGGGGCCGAGGGGACTTCCCGGCGGTGCCTCGGAACAGCAACACACACAAGGGTTTCTTAGTTTTCAAAGTTTTTAACTGAAGTCGATATTTTATGAACATTTAAGGTGTGAAGAACAGGAGTAAAATGGGAAAGGAACACAGGGTAATTCATAAAAATGAAACAGAAATCTCAATCATTAAAACAGTTGCTTTGCTAAGGAAGCCTCTCTTTTCTTGACCCAAAGGGCCTACTTTAGGGAAACTGAGTGGCCTCTGAAGAACTTGCTTACAGCCCTGACTGCTGTGGCTCAGTTGGTTGGGTGTTGTCCTGCAAAGCAAAGGGTTGCCGGTTCGATTCCCAGTCAGGGCACATACCTGGGTTGTGGGCCTGGTCCCCCATCAGGGTTCACCCAAGAAGCAACCTGTCCATGTTTCTGTCGCATATTCATGTTTCTCTCCCTTTCTTTCTCCCTCCTTTTCCCTCTCTCTACAAATATAATTTTTGAAAAAGGAATTTGTTTACATATAATCCTCCCTCCCAATGTGCAGCAGGGATAAAGATGTGCCAAATTCCTGAGAAGCCTGCACAGAGCTGGCCTCTGAGTGATCCTTCTGATCGAAAACCTCTTAAACCGTAACTGCTTAGCAAGCGTGACTCGCACATGTTCGAGTTTTTGCTGCATTAGTCAACACAAGGCGCTGATCTTTATACAGAGTAATTCCCTCAGGTACAGTTCATCCTAGTTTCATTGAAGCCTACGGAGGAGGCTCTGAGTTTCCACCAGAGCTCTGTGAACCCTGCTTGTCCTTTACAAGCCCATCAACAGGCAGTTCGAGTGCTCGGCGAGCCCTCCTGCTGCCAGGAGACGCGAAGAGAAATGGGCCTGGGGACAGGGGCAGGCTGCTCCCAAGATGAAGAGGACCCTGCAAGGAGCGACACCTGCTTCCCTCACCACTGCCCACCCCTGGTTCATAGCTCTGCCCAGACGCCTCCCGTATCCATTCCATTTCTGTCATTCAGAAGCAGGGGTCACAGTGGGCTTTGTTTTTTTATGCCATCTTGGTGATGGCATGACCAGAGAGGCCAGATACCTAGCAGTATCAATAAAGGAAACAAGAAAAGAGCATCCTCATTTACACTATTTGATTAACATACTAAAAGCACTTAAGGGAAACAATGAGCAGAACGAATTACCCAATCAAGAGTACAGCTTTATACTGTTACAAAAAATAAAAACCTCACCTTGTTTCCTGTACAAAGAGAGAGATCATTTAAAGACAGAGGATCGCACAGCGCACACCCAGCTGGCAAGCACTTGGGGTCTGGAGTTCCTTCCCTGACCACATTACAACATCAGCCTGACACATCTGTAAAACATCTTCCCTGCACAAGGCAGACCCTGCAGATCAAACCAGGGAGGCACCCTCTCCCAGGCCAGCATGTAACTCATCCCCCTCAAGACACTTGGTAAAAGCAGCACAGTTGACAGAATGACACTGCCCAGCAGTCAAGGGCCCTGGCCCAGCCAAGGGAGGGGGACCAGGAGCCTGAGTGCCAAGAAACCAGCCAGACAGCCAAGGGAGATGGGAAGGAGTTGAGACTGGCGAGGGTTGGGGCGGGGGAGGCAAAAGAACCAAAAGTTAAAATGGAGAAAAGTATTACTTTAGGAGTAACCACTTCAATTAGAATTAGACCCCGGGCTGGCATCACTGAGACTTCAAGAGCCATGGATGCTGGGAAAGAAGTTTACTTCTTGAGTGCAGTCCAAGGTTATCTGACCTTTGTGTCAGTGGCTCTAGATCCTATTTTGTTTGGGAAATGGCAATGGCTTCTTCAATCAGCAGCCACGGCTTTCCTAAAAACGTGCAGGGCGGCGTGGCCAGGAAGACGGACACGCAGGCCCATCTGCTGAAGGGTGGCTCTGAAGTCGGGACTGGTTTGGCTGCCTTCTCTGCGACCAGGGGGCCAGCAGAGGGGAGTGCGGGGAGGCACCACCCTGCTCCCTCCCCGAAGGGCGGCCTCGAGGCTAGAGAATGAGCTGGAGGAGCCCAGCCTCCCACATACAGGTACTGGCACAGTCCTGGCCAAGCCTCCGGAGGGCCGGGCTCTGGCCCTCGGCTCCGGCACACAGGAGGGGCTCACATACGCATGCACAGGGCAGGGGACTGAGTGACCAACCCCTAAGAGTGGTGTCATCGTTTTTATTTCCTCCTTTCAATCTCGTCTTCAGCTCTCAAAGCTGTTCCTCAACACAGTCCTGTTTCCTACTGTTCCGAGAGGGTGGTTGCATCGCAGACGACCAAAGGCTGGAGCCCTCTGACCAGAATGTAGATATTCCAGTGGTTGGCATCAGCATAGCCTTGAAAGGAAACAGCAACAGGAAAGCATGTGAATGTCGGGACCGGGCGCACCTGTGGGCATGAGCAAGGCGGGTCTGCCAGAGCCGCCCTCAGGGCACACCTGCAAAGTCAGGCAAATCTTGCTCTGAAGGTCTTTTAGCTCTTTCTGGCACAAATGCTCCCAGTTATTACCTGGCTTCTCTGAAACCTGACACCCAAAAAGAGCCACTTCAAACCAAAAGGCTCCATCACCACCCCTGACCTGGGCCTCTGTGAATTACAAGGCAGCAGGTTTACACAGGCAGGATCCTCTAGGTAACCCGGTGCTGGGCTTCGAGCCTCAGGCCGATCTCATGTTTTGCAGCAAGAAGCCAGGATGGGTTTGGGGCCAGGGGAGGACCCCTGTCCAGTTTCCCTGAGGTTATCTACAACATGGCCTCACTGCAAAGCATCCAGAGTGACCCAACCCAGAACTTCCTAAATTGTGTTCAGCAAACAACATCCTGTAAGACAGTCCGAGGAAAACGGGTTCCATGGCCAAGTAAGTGAGAAGCACTAAGTTCTTCCGAGGCCTTTCAGAGCCTTTTGTACACTGAGGTGCGCTGTGTGTCACTGGGACAGTCAGCTGACCCAAGGGGCCCTATTTGCCAAAGAGCTGCTGTTCCCACCTCCACAGTCATGAATGAGCTGTAGAACCGTTTAGGAAAGACTGGTCTGTATTATTTAAGGGGCTAGAAAGGTAAACTTAAAACCTTTAACAGTTCAATAATCTCCTGCTGGAAAATTTTCTCAAGTACTGACGGACTCTACTCATCTTTAACGGAGAGCACTGAATAGAATCTAGTCTCTCCCTGGTGACTCCAGGAAGGTCACTAGGAGCAGTGGCCGTACAACGCCGGCAGATGTGAGGGCTCACCGCTCCTGGCCCATCATCGTTCTTGAGAACGCCCCCATCACAGGCTTCTGGCGGTCTGTAACCTTGCCCCTTCCCCTCAACCTTCACAGGACAATGCTTATTTTGTCAAAAAACACAGAACTTGCTTGTCACACTGCTATTCTCAAGGGTCCCTGGGGTGCCTGAGACACCCTGCACTGTCAGGTCTGCCCTCCTGGCGGTCTTTGTGACTGAGGTGACCGCGGCCATCGCTCCTGCTCCTGCCACTACTCAGACACCCCCTGTGCTCCCCGTCCTTGTCCCAGACCTGCCCTCTTCGTCTTGTTCTCTTCTGTCTCCTGTCCCTTCTCCACATTGCCGTCACGTGGCTGGCCTTTTGTGGACACTGTCAACCGCAGGGCTCCTTTCCCTCTGGTCCACAGGCCAGCCAGTCACAGCACGGCTCTGGGTTTTCAGGCTGTCCTGGGCTATCCCCACTGGACTTCGATGCTCAAAGCTCCCCTGACCACTGCCTGCCACCCATTTTCTTCTCTTCCCCTAACCCTGTAACTGGCACTCTAGATGCTGTGGGAGCTGGAAAGCTGGCATTTGGATAACTAAGGTGTTCTGTAGTTGTCTGAACCGTCAGGCACTTGTAGAACACCAGAGAGAAACTCTTCCACACACAACTACCTACTTCCAATCCCAAATGTCACACAGGCTTGTGCAACAGGCACACTTCACGGGAGGGTCACTCCGCTGCAGGAAAACAGGATCAGAATCATTTCTACACAAGAATCTCCTTTTATGCCGTAATTCCCAGGGGCCAGACCAGCTGTGTTCCACCATCAGTTAATGCTTAATTTGCGCATTTTTATTTTTTCATTTGTAAACGGAAATAAAAGTCATTTAACTTGAATTAAACCCTGGCACAGTATGCAGTCTACACCCTTCTTCCAAACGAGTGAGGAGTTTCTAGGGACTGGGGTTCTCTGGGTAGGTAACTAAAAGAAATCAAATGGAAAACCAGTCTGGGCTCTGCCAGGGACTCTAGGCAGGAAAAACAAGGAGGGCGACGGTGACGCTGCTGATCTGTTTGCTCTGCCAAGAAAACGCTCCAGTCAAACTGATTGCTACTAACAGCAGTTGACTTAAACCTGTTTCCTGGAACAGATTTCTAGAGTGTAACACACAGAACCAGTCAGAGCCGGGAAGTCATGGGGCCAAGGGTGGGTCATGACTGCGAGTGAGGCTGCGGCTCGGCTTTGGGACCCACACGGAAGGTGGTGTTTCCTTGCGTGGCCAGTGCCCTCACGTGCTGCCTGCACTGTTTTATTAACAAAATGGGTTTCCTCAAATCTAAAGTTGTACCTCCCCTGGCTTGACTCTGCTAAATGAGATACTTAAGAGACTTAAAGCTTTGCTTAACAGACGGTGGGGCCTTGGAATGGTCACCTCTCCTCTCTGCGTCTTAGTCTCCTCATCTGTAAAATAAAGGATTGCTCTAAATATTTTCCATAATCCTTTCTAACTTGGACACATATAGTTTAAATGTTTATAGAACAAGACACTTCCCCTCTGCCACATTTTCTCATTAGTTGTTCCATCTCAGCATAAATAGTGACCCTGCTAATTAAAAAGTGCTATTTTTGACTCTACTTCACTGATCTTTGTGAAGGCAATATTTAATTCTTACAATACTTTTTGAGTTAAAAACAGAAGGACCCTGTGGCTGACCCCACCCTCCTGTACCCTACCTACCGATGTCCCCCGGCCCTATCGGCATCACCAACATGCTGCAGTGCGTGCGGCACTGGGAGGGCGGGATGAGGTGCAGCAAGGCCTCGCCGCTGCCGATGGTGAACAGGTCGTGCATCTTATGTGCCTGGAGGGAAAGTGGGGGGAGAAAGGAAGGAAAAGAAAACAATAAGACCCAGGAGCGTGGGATATTGATACACAAAAACCCATCACATATATCTCTGAGATTCCTATCAGCCTAAGCAAAAAGGAAAATAGCACCAATAACACAATTCTCAGTTATGCCCGAAAGACAAAAACAAATTACTTTCTCCAAAGCACGGCTCGTCTCCCAGTACCGAGAGCAGGGTAAACACCTCTTGTAATGGCTGCTAATGAGATACTGTGTGGCCCAGTGGATGACAACCTCAACAACAGCCCTGTAGCAGAAACTGCACAAACTTCATAATCCACAGCTATTTCTAGCCACGGCTTCAAAGTAGGCCAGAGGCAAAATATCTCGTTGCAATTTAACGAAAGTCTAACAAAGCCTAATACATGTTGGTCTAAGAATGCAGTCTCCCGAGGGTCTGGTCTGATTCAGACTTTTAAACTAATACATGTCTATATATCCTTTGGGCAGTGTTCCATGGAATATTCTTTTTGACTGCCGGAGTTTTGATAAGAATGGAACAGTGGCAAGGTCAGGTTCACACTTTCTGGCAAGACCCAGGTGAGCAGATATGTCATCTTCCTGATTAACACTTAATGACAGTAAGATTGGCCTCTGATTTTGGAAACTAAGGATATGCGCCCATGGGGGCAACCACCGCCCTCCTGAGGGAGCACTGCTGCCGCCCACGGGCATAAAAGGCAGCCGCTGTGTGCCAGGCACCGCTGGGAGCCCGGGTGCTGGGCTGGGACAGGGAGCGGGGGTGAACAGAGAGGTTGACCTTGCACAGACTTCTCTTCCTCCCTAGTGAGAGAGAACCCCTAGGCCTCCCCTCCCAGCCCCTGCCCTCTGGCAACCCGTTTATATGCCCACATAGAGCAGGGATCAGAAGTCTGACTCCCTGGGCCACATCCTGGTTTTCTCTTCATCACTTGGGGCCTCGAGAGTCTTGGGTTTTGGTCCCATCTTCTCCTGTCCCTAACCCTGGTCTCTCTGTTGCTTCCACAGGCCCTGGCCATGATACTGATTCCATGGCCACACTAGAGCCATTTCAACCGCTGCCGCAGTGACTGGAACAGAACTAGGGAGGACTAGTGTCTTGAACTGCCTGCAACTGACTGGTACCAGCAGAAGCCCTGATAGCTGCAGTCTTGAAAAAAAATCCCAGAAGACCAAAACCAGGTGGATGTATTTCTTTTCATATAAGTCTGAGAGGAGGAAGGACCATGTTCCTCCACACCCAGGATGGGAAGAAACAAACACCACAATGGAGCAGGCCAGCCACAGGCAACACTGTGAGGTGGGTGAAGGGGGCCTCGGAGCCCCTCACCTCCGTCCCCAGCGCTTCTTAACAACTGAAATCCCACTTCCATGCCCCAGTTCTGCCTCTCGGGTCCTGAGCCCCCAGACCTGTGACATTCCCAGGGTCCAGGGCCCAGAGACACAGATAATGGGGTGGGGAAACAAGGCTGTGGAGAGCTGGGACCGCGGTGGGGAAGGGACACTCTGGACAGCCAGGCTCTCGGGATGTTCGCCTGTGTGGGCCATTCCCCTCCCCAAAACATGTTTGAGAACCACAACGGGACGACTTTGATAGGCATCTGAGTGACTCTGCATTTACTCTTTGGCCGAGCTCCTTGGTGTCCCCGTTAAGCAGATTGGTGAAATGAACTTCAGATTTAAGCGGGAAAATCAAGATAAAGTTACAGGCCTCGCCCAGAAGTATGTTATAATTATGAAGATGGAATCATACTGGGGCCCCGGGTTCTTGCCAGGGACAGCAGATAAACTTCTTTAAAATCTGAGGAAGAGCCCAGCACCTCCACCCTGCTGCTGGCCGGCAGTTCGTAGTTCTAGACAAAATAATTGTTTTTCTAGGCTTTAAAATTCCTTTAACATGATTCAGCAAATTTGAAGCCAATAACACAACCCAGAGTTGGTAGGGGCCACAGTTTGAGAAGTTTAATTTTTTTACAAAGTAAAAATTCCTGTTTATAATTCTTTCAAATCAATCCAGGCTCAAAATCCTTCCTCAGAAATGAGACTCAACAAAAGAGCAATTCGGAGAAGAGTAACCAGACGCAAACACAGAACAGCTCTGAGGAGCCCGCCGGCCACAGAGAGTGAAATTCGGGTTCCAGGGACTCGGCCTCCGGCTGAGGTGAGAGGTCGGCTGCCTACGCTGCGCTGCCTGCCCGGGCGCATGCCTGCCAACCTGTGAGTCCCCAGACCCCTCCGTGTTCTCAAGCCTTTGCTTTTGCAATTGTCTATCTGAAGTTCCTCATTTATTTCTGGGGAAAGCCAACCTGGGAGTGAGGGTAAGGGAGAACCCTCCTACTAACTTGCTGTGTCCTTGGGCACATTAATTAATCTCTGTGGGGCTCAGTTTCCTCATCTACAAAGCGAGTAAGGTGGACTATTCACTCACACAGCATTCATTTATGGTTTGCCAGCTTTCTACTTTGAGGTAGAGAAGTCAGACTAACTGTATGCTCCGGTCCCTTCAAAATTTAGAATTCTGCATACTTGAATGCAGAAAAGTGGCTGCAGAAGGGAGACTGACGAAGTAACTAGGCTTCCCACAAGCACACTTTCATAAAAGAGCAGGCCACTGCAGGTCTCCCGGCTGGCAGGAGGAGGAGAAAACTTCGGATGATGTTAAGTGTCCCTTTAATTCACCCTCCAAGTTGATGTGCAGGGAAGGCCTTGATTAGGACATTGGTCCAGGTCCCAAATGAGGAAAATTCTGGTTCTAAGTCCTTTCAAAATTTCCTACCTGATTCCTCTCAATAGGTTCTCCTTCAAAAAAGAAGCAATTTTTCAAGGAGGCATCTTTTGGAAATGGTAGGTAGGTGAAAACAGGAAAAAGCTCACGTAAAATGTGTGATCTGTTCAGAGATCTTGTCCTGTAAAAGTTTGAAAGAGAAAAAAGTATTTAAACTGGGCAAGCCAGCCGCCACGACTAACACAGGGCTGAGCAAGGGTGGGAAAGCTGTGGGCGGTGGGGGCGGGGGGCAAAATACCAGGACAGTATCTTAAGTATGAGGTCCGTGAAGAATAGTCATGCCAAATCAATTAATTGTAACATAAACTCTTCAGCCACGATTTGTCCATGTGTGTGGGTGTTTATAAAGTCCAGCTAAAACAACATATAGAGGAAGGAAAGAAACAATCTATTCATTCTATCTTGGAAAAGAGACTGAAGTAGTAAGCCAAGCGGAAGAAGACACAAAGCGAAGAGGAGGCAGCAAAGGTCATGAACGTTCTTCTGAGACAGAGCACCATGACGTGGCAAGCCTGACTCACTTGTTAAACTGAGTATCTGATCACACAAATAGCCAATTTAAAGAAAGGCAGAAGCATCAAGTAATTATCCAACAGAAAGTCCGAAAGAGCAATTTTTAAATGCTCTTTTGGAATGGTTCTAGATGAAAATTGGCTTTCCTTTTCTTTCTAAAGAGCACCCCAAGAAATGGGCCATGTCTTCTACGGGACACGAGAAGGAACAGGGAGCCAAACTTGAGTTTCAATCCTGACTGGGTGATGTAGAGAAAGGTCCTTCACCTCTCTGATTCCCATTTTTCTGATCTGAAAAGTGACCATCATAATTCCTGCTTTCCAGAGCTATTCTGAACATCACCATTAAGCAACAGACACTAGACACCCAGGCATGCTGCTTGGCACAGACAAGCGCAGGGAAATGAAGTCTCCCATTCTTTGTGCTCTCCCCTCAGCTCTCAGCACTTGGGACTCACGCTGCACAAACATAAATGCTAAACATGTAGTTAGAAATAAATTAGAAATCCATTAGGCAATCCTGGTATCCACCCACGGTGCCACTCCTCTTGACACAACTCTTCTACTTGTCCCTTTCTCTCTCTCTCATCATCGGCTGGTCCACAGAGAGCACCTGAGGAGCACCTGCCTTCAACAGTGTACTGCAAAGTGCTTGCACAGTGCTGGGCACAGTCTTGTCATCTGGTCTGCCCCTTTCTGCACACACACACAGGCTACAGCCCCTTCTCACTCACCATGGATAAGCAAAAGGGAACCACCGGTGAGGAAGGCAGCGCCACCACTTGGCAAAAATCCCTTCTGTGAAGCCTTCTGTCACCTCAGGGTACTGGCACAAAAAATGCTGAAGCTCCTCAGACAACAGGGGCCTTCTGGTCTTGACTCGGAGGAAAACGAAAGCAATGCAAAACAACACAGAATCACTTATCAGGAATGTCACAGAGCTTGACCCTTTCTAGGCATTAAATGGCTAATCAGCTCTGGCCGTTGCGGCTCAGTCGGTTGGAGAATCATCCTGTAGACTGAAAGGTCGTGGTTTTGATTCAGCGTCAGAGCACACAGCCAGGTGGTGGGTTCGGTCCCTGGTTGGGGCACATGCAAGAAGGCAGCCGACACTTGATGTTTCTGTCTGTCTGCCTGTCTCTCTCCCACCCCTTCCTCTCTCGCTAAAAGCAGTGAAAAAAATACATACCCTTGTGAGGATAGATGGGTAATCAGGCAGTGGGAGAGTCAGGCTTCTTGCTCACCTTGATCAACAGAGGATGGAGTCTCTCAAATGTCTTTGGGGCATTTGCCAGGGGCACTATCTCCACAGGTAATTTCAGGATGCAACCATGGCAGCTTTCAGGAATGGGGTCAGGAACGGGCTCCGAGTCATTCTGCTCACTGTCATTTGTCCACCAGGGGTCTTCTGAGAGAGGAAGGGATGCAAAGGAAGCAGATACAGAAAGAACATAGCAAGTAAGTCCGATAGCCCTGGCAATGAAGTAGAAGGGAAAGGGTACAACAATAATTTTAAAAGCCAACGACAAGCGTTGGTGACCTATGAAAAGGTACGTATGTAATAAGTAGGCCCTAAGGAAGGAGCAGAGCATGCAGCGGACAGGCTGGGAAAGAGAGGTACTTTTTGATGTAGACTCCTCTACACCTTATGGAAAACATTTTTTAACATGCACATGTATCTCTGAAGTCAAATCAACAAATAAAGTCAAACAGCTGGAGAAGATATTCAGTGACACGGGACTGGAGGTATAGTTCTTCCACCGTTTTCTAACCTGTGACCCCCACATCTGAACAGTCCACAGCATATGGGGCAGGGGCAGGCAGAAAGGGGGGCTCCCACCATCAGTGAGGAGTCCTACTGTGTGTCTTCTCCAGCACTCTGGGTGTGGGCCTAGACCCTTGGTCACAAGCCCAAGTGGAGGCCAGGGTGACTCTGGGAAGGAAGAGTGAGAAAAGGGTGCAGAGAGAAGGGATGGAGGGGAGATAGGATTTTTCAGGTGCCTATCTTTGGAGTAAAGTGATAGCACCACCCATTAGATGGCACTCCATCCCAGCTCCGAAGGAGGTGGGGGCTGCTAGCCACAGTTTCTGTGCCCAAGGACTGCAGGTTGGTCAGAAAAGGAGGGGCGCCCACGTAGACGCTGAAGTGAGTGCAGGTGGGCTCCTGTCTGAGGGGCTGGCCCTGTCTCTGCGCAGCCCTCCTCGGTTTCTCTCTGTTCCTTCCTTCTGGCACTGTTGTTTGTAGTGTTGTAGTAATATTTCTCGCTCGCTTTTTGTTCCATTCTGGGTTTTACGTGTGTAGACTGAGATAGGTGTCTGTGATAAACTCTAATTTGAATCCAAAATGTTCCACCAGGTGGTTTCTGATTAAAACCCAATGGAAACCAAATCAGGAGAGAGCCTAGAACAAAGGACAACAGACACCCAAATGTGGCTGAAATGTGAGGTCAATTTTTTAAACAAATAAACACACTTGGAAACTGACTCTCGACCACAAAGTATTTTCTGTAGTTAGCAGCGAGTTCTTTAACCCGGTTTTCTGACAGCAGCGTTAGAGTGGAGAGGACCCCATCAGGGACAGCCTGTTTGTTCTCAGCAAGTCTCCTAAGCACCTCCAAGCACCCTCCCTCTCTGGCAGAGAGAACCTGTGTCTCCTCTGTGTTTCCAGAGGAAGCTGCCACCTACCCTTCTCACCTGTCTCAGCCTGTGGGCAGACTACGCACCCAAGGCCCACCGCACCCCTACCTGAGGCGGACCTCTATCCCACAATCCCACCGTGCGTCTCCGGGGCAGCTGAAAACCCTCCAGTGGCACCTGTTTCAGTGGCACTCTGAAGCTGCAAAGTTATACTTCCTTCCCTTTCTGAAATATTTTAAAATGTTCCTTATTAGAAGCCAAATATGATGAATCCTTGCCAAATACAAGAACTCTGGGTAGTGGACATACAACGAGGTGCACATAATCGTAACAACGTGTCACAACTCTACAGCATTTCAGTTTCCAAAGTACTTGTGAGGGAAGAAGGAAGGAGAAAGGGAACACATGCGCCAAGCCCCAGGCCCTACGCTCGTCATTTTCACGTGCTGCATGGTTTGCTTCTTACCATGTAATTATCGAGGAGGCATTACTATTCTTACTTTACAGATAAGCAAACTGAGCGTGAGTGGCAACAGGCATTTCCAAGGCACCAGAGTGCAGTGGGGAAGAGCACCAAGCACGCGGGGCGGTGTAGTGGAGGAGAGGGCGGGGTGGGGGTTGCTGAGGACGGCTCTAATGGGGGTTTCGAAGGCCTGAAGCACCTGCAACTCAACTGAGAGCAAAACGAGGAACCACAAAGGCCTTTGAGAAGGGATTTCCTGCTGCTCTAGGAAGGTTATTCTGGGTTGTGACTAGGGTGTCCTGGAAGAGGGAGGCCTGTTGTATTGTGGTTTTGACCTCTTTTTTGGTGGGGGGAGGACTGTATTGTAATGAGAGGTGAAATACAGTGAGAATCTAAACTGAGGCAGTGGGCTTGGGAAGAAAGGTGATTCCAGGGGCAGCGATGACACAGTCTAGACACCCGAGCAGCACTTCTGAGAATGTCTGTGCTGCTGACAGTGCCAAGGGCTCCTCCCCTAAGGGAGCTGCCGACACAGGAGACAAGGAGGACCTGAAGATTTATCGTGACATTCTGGGCAGAAGAGGGCGGGACCAGAGGGAAAGGGCTTTATTGTGCTTTCTCTGTGTAGACATTACATTAAAAACAAAACAAAACAAAAACAGCTTTATTGAGATTAATTCATAGACCATAAAATTCACTCAAAGTGCACAATTCAGTGGTCTTTAGTATATTCATAGAGCATAACCACACCATAATCTAAGTTTATAACACTTTCACCCTAAAAAGAAACCCTGTACCTATTAGCAGCCCCTTCCCACTCCAACCTCTCTCCCGCCAGCCCTAAGTATGCACTTGCCTATTCTGGTATTTCATATCAATGGAATCACACAATATATGGTTGTGTCTGACTTTTTTAACTTAGCATAATGTGTTCAAGGTTCATCCACGTTATAGCCTGTATCAATTCTTCATGCTTTTCTATTGCCAAGTAACAGTCTATTATATGGACATACTACATTTTCTTTATTCGCCCGTAAGTTGCGGGACATGTGGATTGTTTCTACTTTGGGGCTATTATGAATAATGCTCCTATGCACATTTGCATGCAAGTGTTTGGGTGAGCTTATGTTTTCAGTTCTTTTGTGTACACACCTAGGAGTGGAATGACTTGGTCATTTGCTAACTCTGTGTTTAACTTTTTGAGGACCTGCCAAACTGTGTTCCAAAGCAGCTGTGCTATTTGACATTCTCATCAGCAATGGATGAGGGTTCCAGTTTCTCTACATCTCTGCCAGCACTTCTTATTATCTATCTTTTTATTACAGCCATCGTCATGGGTATGAAGTGGTTCTCACTGTGGTTTGGATCTGCATTTCCTTGATGGCTAATGAGGTTGAACCTCTTTTCATATGCATGTTAATTACCTGTTTTTTTGGAGAAATGTCTATATAAATCTTTTGCTCATTGTTAATTGGATTGTCTTTCTATTATTGAATCATGAGTCGTAGACAAATCCTCAAAAAACAAAAAATTGTGAGGGAACCAGATGTAAAAATATGATAGCATTCTATAAAGCTACTATAATTAAAAATAGTTACAGTCAAGCCTCAGTATTCAGATTCCTATCGCCTACTCCCTAAAATGTATCTGTAACCCCAAAGCAATACTCCAGTGGCTTGAGAGGCACCCACACACGTGCAGAGCAGCAAACCCCAGCGGATGTGGGAGTGGGCCACGAGCTGCCTTCTGCTCTGCCCCTCCCACTACAATCAAGTATCCTTTCCATCATCTATTTAGTGCCACATTTTCTGCATTTTTGTCAGATTTTGCTGTTTAAAATGCCTGTGCATTTGTGGGAAAGAGGGAGTATTAGGGGAACTCTCTGTACGTTGGGCTCAATTTTGCTGTGAACCTAAAATTGTCTAAAAAATAGTTTGTAATAATAATATTTAAAAAATGACCCCTGAGCCAAGTACCAAAGTACTGTCAAGTGTCCCTAAGTACAAGGCTGTGATGTGCCTTACAGAGAAAACTACAAGTGTCAGATGCACTTTCTTCATGAGTTGTAGTGCTGTTGGCTGAGTTCAATGTTGATGAACCGATAATATAAAATAAGGTGTCTTTAAACAGAAACATACATAAACAAGGTCCCATATCGACCAGTTGCTGATGATGTGGCCAGAGGCTCTCAGGAACCTAACTCTACTTCCCCAAGGGACAACAGGTCAGTATTCACTAATTCAGTATTTGCAGGGACTTCATAGAAAATAACTACAGCAAGTAATGAGAACCGACTGTAGGGTCTTATAAAGGAACAGACAAAAAGCTTAAAATAGAATAAAGAATGTGGCAAGAGATCCAGAATACCTGTATATAAATGAACATTTAATTCATGATAAAGGTGAATCTTAATTCACTGAAGAAAGGATGGATGCAGTAAATTATATTGGGACAAGTAACCACCTATTTGGAAGAAAATAAAGCTTAATCCTTATTTTTCACTACAGAGTGAAATAAATTTTAGATAAATTAAAGATAAAAAATGGAGAAAACAAAATTTTTAAAATAATATATTAGAAGAAAATATGATATGATTTTTATAATTTGGGGAGCACAAAAGGCTTCTTAAGTAAAGCATAAACCAAGATTCCATAAAGAACAAAATGAACAGATTCAACCAGTATTTGCATATAAGAGGCAAAGGATTAATATCTCTAATATGTAGTGGACTCCTATTTGATAAAAACATTCAAATGGGAAAAAAATATGAATATGTAATCCACAGAAAAATAATTATAAATAACCTAACCTATAAATATATATAAAAAGATATCCAACACCACTAATAATCAAAGAAATGCAACTTAAAATGAGATATCATTCTTCAGTTTTCTAATTGGCAACATGATGACAATAACCAGTGCTGATGATCAGCATATGCATATTTATAAAGACAATTTGGTAGTTAGTATTTATTAAAATTTAAGCTGTGCATGACCTTTGATCCAGCTATTTTACTTCTAAGAGTCCATCTTACAGAAACATTAGTGTGTGTATATAAAGATAAATGTACATGAATGTCCCAGGTACATTTTTTATAATAGCAAAAAAACTAGAAACCACTGACTTATGGAATATTCAGAGAATGAAATAATATGAAATCCTGAAAAATGTGTATGCTGGGTTAAATAGTGTCCCCCAAAATTCATGTCCTTCTGGAACTTCAGAATGTAACCACTTCTGGAAATAGGGTCTTTGCAGATGTAATTAATTAAGATAAGGTCATATTGAAGTAAGATGGGCCCTAC